TATTATGACAAGAAACTATTGGTCGAAATAGTGTCTATTGACTCATTACAAAGAATATTCGAGATAGACTGAATTGTGAAAAGATATTTACAATCGTTTACATAGATTATCCGTAGATAATCATAAACAATCATTTGGGCTTTTGTTTCGGTGACATATCAAATTCTTGTTTTTTTTCTTCAGATCTCTTTATTAATTAATTTACAAGAATTGAACAAATGCAATTATCAATTACTTCTGCCGGTATAAAGATAAAAATTGTTTATGAAATTTTAAAATATATAATTTTTGATTTTTATTAGGTGGAATTTTATCACTACTGGACGAAAATACTGAAAAAGGTCCAGTGTATGCTCTTCATCGATTAAATGCAATTGTCGATGTATTTTGGCCAGAAATTAGTGATTCAATTTCTAAAGTGTACGTATTATAATTTCAATCTTAATTTTTATTTCTTTTCTTTTCAATTATTTAGTGAATCACTTTATGAAGATGAAAATTTCAAACATCGAGAATTAGCTGCACTTGTTTCATCGAAAGTTTATTATCATTTAGGTTCACTTGATAATGCTCTTACATACGCACTTGGAGCTGGACGTTTATTTGATGTTAATGATAAAACAGAATATGTTGAAACAATTATTGGTTTGTTAATTTTCAAAATTTAGTTCTAATAAAATTCGATCTGTATTTTTTTTAGCTCATTGTATCGATAAATATACTAAATTACAAGTAGAAAAATTTCAATCCGATGGTACTGCTCATGTACAAATAGATCAACGTCTTGAAGATATTGTCAATCGAATGTTTCAACGATGTTTCGATGATAAAAAATATAAACAAGTAATTGAATAATTTAAAATATATATTTTTCATTATTTGATTGAAATCTTTAGGCTATTGGTATTGCACTTGAAACACGTCGAATTGATATATTTGAAAAGGCAATTAAAGAAGCGGTATGTCCTTATTTTATACCAATATTTTACATTGATCATATCTGAATATTTTTTAGAATCAACCGAATGAAATGCTTACATATGCATTTAAAGTTACCATGCAATTATTACAAAATCGAAAATTTCGCACAGTTGTCTTACGTACACTTGTTCGTCTTTATCTTAATTTACAAGTACCTGATTTTATCAATGTTTGTCAGGTGTGACAAAATCGTTTTAAAATTTCGAATTTTTTTTAATTATCTGATTTCTTTTAGTGCCTAATTTTTCTTGATGATCCTGATCAAGTAGCTGATATTTTACAATCACTTGTTCGTGGTACAACTGATCAAATGCTTATGGCATATCAAATTGGTTTTGATTTATATGAAAGTGCTACACAACAATTTTTAAATAAAATTCAAGATGCTTTACGTGTTCAAGCACCAATTCCAATTATTCTTGATAAACAACAGAATAAAGATGAGCAACAAGGGTAGGCTTAATTTAGAAAAGAAAAAGAAAGAATTTATTTTTAAAAAAAAATATTTAATAGAACTGCTGGTACAGAATCAATGGAAACAAATCAAGATGAAACTAGCAGACAATCAACTGAAGAATCAACAACTGCAAAAGATAAACAAACTTTAGAACAAGAACATAAAGATAAAGTGAACAGTTTGGTATGTTCAAAAGTTTTTTATTTTAATATTATATATTTATTTCTCTTATATTTTTAAGTCTCAAGAAGAAAAACAATTACAAGATCGAATTGAAAAAATATTGAATATTCTTAGTGGTGTAATAACTATTGGTGTACATATGCAATTTCTTATTAAAAATAATCATGCTGATTTATTAATTCTTAAACAAATTAAAGTAAATTTTATTGTAATATTTTATATTTTATTTATAAATATTGTTCAAATAGGATGCTGTAAGAAATTCAGTATGTCATACAGCTACTGTTATTGCCAATGGTTATATGTTATCTGGCACAACAAGTGATCAATTTTTCAGGTATATTTTTAATATTATTATAAGTTTTTTTATAAAGAAAATAATTATAAAATATTTGTTTAGAGATAATCTTGAATGGCTTGCTCGTGCTACAAATTGGGCTAAATTTACAGCTGCTGCAAGTCTCGGTGTTATTCATAAGGGTCATATAAAAGAAGCACTTAATTTAATGAGTGCCTATTTACCAAAAGATTCAACTGGTAATTCACCATATGCTGAAGGAGGTGGTTTATATGCACTTGGTCTTATTCATGCTAATCATGGTGGTGATATTATTGATTATCTTATCAATCAATTACGTTCAAATGCAGCACAAACCGATGTATGTTAAATTTTCTTTTTTATATAAATATTCTTTGAAGTAACATTTTATTTTTAGACGGTTCGTCACGGTGCTTGTCTTGGTTTAGGTTTAGCTGCTATGGGAACAGCACGTAGTGATGTGTATGAATTATTGAAATCAAATTTACTACTCGAAGATGCTGTAGCTGGTGAAGCAGCTGGTTTAGCTATGGGTCTTGTTATGCTTGGTACTGGTTCAGCACAAGCTATTGATGATATGGTTCAAGTATGTTGAGAAATATTTAAAAAAGAAATAATAATATGTAAGAAAATTTTTCGTTTAGTATGCTCAAGAAACACAACATGAAAAGATTTTACGTGGCTTAGCTATTGGTATTGCACTTGTTCAATATGGTCGTTTAGAAGAAGCTGATGCACTTATTGAACAACTTCAACGTGATAAAGATCCAATTTTACGTCGTTCAGCTATGTATACTGTTGCTATGGCTTATTGTGGTACAGGTAATAATGCAGCTGTACGCAAACTTCTTCATGTTGCTGTAAGTTCAAAAGAACAATATTTATTGAAGAAAAAAAAACATCATCTCTATTCATATATATAGGTTAGTGATGTTAATGATGATGTTCGTCGTTCAGCTGTTGAATCACTTGGTTTTCTCATGTTTCGGTAAGTAATAAAACAAACGTATTTGCATTTAGTTGCGTATTCATTATATTTTCACAAAAGGAGAAAAAAGAGATCGATGAAAATATTTTAGGCGTATACTCCATGACACTATAAGTACTTATGTAAATCTTAAAATAAAACATTCTAATGAATTATTATAAATAGTCTCAAATGAATAACGTTAAAGATTAAAACAATATAATTGTCCCATGATAATAAATGGCTAATTACATATTACTTTAAATAATTGTCATTTGTTTTGTTACAATGAAATTATAAATGTCAATGATGAGTAATGAGATAAATACGAGTCTAATCAACCATTCACATATAGAAATACTTAATTGAATATATAGTGTTAACTAAATATGAAAAAAAAGTAAGATTTTTTTTCCATCAGTTATAGTATGTAGACAAAATTTGAAGTTCTATTATAATTTAATAATCATGTGAATATTGTAGTCAAAATATTTATCGATCCATGATCGATGTCATTATGATAAGATTATTAAAATCAATCATGTTGTTTCTGTACTGTGTAATTCGAATAAATCCTCTCTCCATTAGTATACAACTTGATAAGCTAGCTGTAGTTTTTGATTAACTATATGGTTAAAAAGTTTTTATCCTTAATGACATAGACCTTCAAGAGTTACAGATCATTGCAATTTATAACCGCTAAAAACGTTCCATTTTTCTAACATTTAATAGAAGTTATACATATGATTATTCGAATGTAGGTCATGTTTATGTATAGATATCTCTTTTTTTAATTAGCCTAATTTTGTTTGTTTTTTGATAATAATCTAGCAAAGAGAAAGATTCGAAGAAAAAACATATATTTATAAACAGTCTCATGAGATTTCGCAATATAGATATGCAACTTGCATAGAAAATAAAATACATAAATAGATGTCAAATGCATCACAATCAGTTTGTAATTATAAGCATGCATGAATACATTAGAATTGCGAAATATAATATCGACACATTAATGTTATATTATTGATTTGCTCTTTGCATGTAATGCTACTGAATTACTTGTTATAAGATGGCATTTGTGCTTTGACACACATACAAGTCCTTTGATGATGATGATGATAAATTATAAAGAAAAAAGTATAGTATGAGAAAATCAGAGCTACGTAGATATATGTTTCTAAGTATAATATATGATCAGTCTTCATAAAAGTTGCTAATATTAACAACAGAAACAGTAGTTGATGTTTATTGACAAGCCAAAGTTATTAGCAATAGATCGTCATCATTATCATTATAGAGGGCATAGAATGTAAAGGTCGATTAGAATATGCAAAATAAGAGATGACTGTTGTTGCGTTTTGTTGGCAGATATTATCTTCTAAAAGAAAAATAAGTAAATGCAATATAACAGACAAGATATAGAATGATATCTCAATGATATTCATAAATTGCATATGACCTTCTATTATAAGCAGCAATCAGTTTTGTTTCAGTTAAAAATGTAACAGGAATAACAGTAACATGACACTTGCCATAGTTTTCTATTGATATGTATACCCATACTTAAATAAAAAAAAATCAAGCAGCGCATTTGTTCCGTAAAAAAACAGCATATGTTCTTACTAAATATTCTTCATAGAATATTTTTCTTGACCTTTTTTTTCTATAATTGTTAAGTAGATAAATAACTGTTACGACCTGTGTGTATTTATCTTAGGAATTTTTAATTAGTGTTATGAATCTACGTATATCACTAACATATTGGCAAACCATAATAACCTTCTCTATGTTGATAATATTTATTACATATTTAATACAGAATTTGACCTAAAATGATTTATTTTCTTTATATGCGTTCTACTTTTTTTTTTATTATAAACAATTAAATACATAAGTTTATTTATTTTTCTGCTAAGTATGTTTATTATTTTATATCAATGATAAAAATGAAATAGAAACAAGAGAAGAAGAAAACAAATTAAATACTGCCCAAAGCCATTTTTGTTGTTTTAAAACAATAATACAGTTATTAAACTGGAAATGTCTTTTTATGATATATATATATATTTGTAAAATAATTATAAATCTTATTATTCGCGATACTGACGAATATCTTTTTGTATTAAATCATTTTTTCGTTGAAATCGTGAACCACGTATAGATGATTGACTTTGATAAGAAAGAAATTGTCGTCGTTGTTGCAAATTTGGAAATAAACACTGACATTTAAGTAACGCAATAAATTTTAAACGAAAATTACGATTAAATATTGTATAAACAAGTGGATTGATTGTTGACGATACATAACCAAGCCAAACTGAGCCATTTAAAATATTTGGATTGACGAAACATCGTTTACAAACTCCTTGTAATAAATTTATAATACAAAATGGAAACCATGCTATAACAAATATAACAAAGACCACACCAAGTACTTTAACAGCTTTTTGTTCATTACGTATTGCTGATGATTTTGGACGTGACATTCCAATACTTGGTGTATTAGTTAGACGACGCCGATATTTTGTCGCTATATTACCCGATAATGAAGGATTTGAAGATATTGAAGATCGATTTGGTGCTGTTGAAATTGGTAAATTTAATGGGTGAGATCTAAACGAAGGATAAGATTGCAAAGATGGAGGAGTATTAATTCGTTTACAGCAACGAATATATTTAAAACAATCGAAGCGTGCTTTAGGTTCTAGAACAGTTTCTAATTGTATGTGTCGTTGTTGTTGTTCAGGATAATGATTGCATGTACATTTTAACTGACAAAATGGATTTTTTGGACAAGCATATTCAGTATGAGGTGAAAATTTAGTTGATCCTGATTGTAGAGTATTTCGTGATATCGCTGGTTTCTCTTCAATTTGAGATTCTTGATCGAATTGTGATGAATGTTGTTGTTCTTGCTGTTGCTGTTGTTGTTGTACTTTTTGTTGCTGTAAACTTATATTATCTGCACTTTCTTCGCTCAATTCAAAACTTGTTGCTTGTCGTATTAAACGCATACGTCTTAATGCTGCAGCAGATGCTGGTGTTGTTGATTGGAACGAACTAACGCTAGCAGCCGTTGTTGAATTTCCTGTTGCCATATGTCGTCTTAAAAATGGTTTAGTAACGAAACTAGCAGCACGAGCTAATTGTTCTTGAGCAATTTGTGTTTGACATTGTCTTATTTGTTCTTTTAAAAGACGTACAGTTAATACATATGTTATAATAACTATTATAAGCGGAATAACAAATGAAACGACACTACCATAAATAACAAAAAATTTATTATTTATTAAACATTGTCCATTAACAATAATATTATTTCGATTGATTGCACCAAGTACAATCATTGGAGATGATAATAATATTGCAATTGTCCAAATAAGTATAATTAATAAAAGAATTTTACATTTTTGCTGTCGATTACGAGTATTTAATGGATCATTTATTGCTAAATAACGATCAAGTGATATAACAACAATATGCATAATTGAGGATGTACTCGAACATACATCCAAAAAGATCCAAAAATCGCATAAAACTGGACCTAATATCCAATAACCTAAGAAAATAAAATATATATTCTAAATCTTTATTTTCGTTTATTTATACTATACCTGTAAATTCTTTAACAACAGCTAATGGAATAACAAAACCCGAAATAAGCATATCAGCAAGTGCTAATGAGAAAAGAAACCAATTTGTACGATTTTGTAAACGTCGTTCAGTTACTATAGCTAGACAAACAAGTAAATTACCGAGAATACCAATAATAGAAAAGAATAAAAGAAATAATGCTGGCCAATAATAAGATATTGCAAGTATTGTATTTGAATGCCGTTGAAATGCCGGAACAATGAGGTCACTATCATGATTAACTAGAATAGGTGTCGTGTCCTCGTCGGCGGCGACGGCGTCGAACGAGACATTTGCGTGCATCAAAAGTCATTCGTATTTAAAGAACTTCGTATATGTTGTCTCTCGATTGCGTAGCACTAAAAAGAATACATTGTAGCAAAAAATCTAAAGGCATTGGTATAGAGAAAGAGAGATAGAGAAAAAGATGAGAATACACTATTATTATTATTATTACTGTTGTCGCTTCTTTTTCTGCTTGTAGAGAATGGAAGGGAAGGATAGAGAGAGAGAAAGAAGGGGGGAGAGCATAAAAAGCATTTTCTTGGTCTTATCAAGAAAAGATCGTTTTTTTTGATTAATCATCTATTCTAATAGTAGTACATATACAAACTTTTGGTTGAAGTGCTCAGTTATTTTTTCTCTTATTTTACTTCCACTTTTTTACCTAGATACATATAGACATATTTACAAACCTTACACTCATCTTGATAACTTTTGTCCAACTAAATTAATAGAATGCGACCAATAAACATGACTGCCACTTTGTGTGGGTGTTCCTGTCAACAATAAAGATTGACAAGCCAAGGAAGAATAGAGAACATGAGAGAAACAACAATCATTGATCATTGAAGAGAAGCACTAGATACAGCAGTCATTACATCGTAATGTAGCATACTCAACTTACTTGTATTCTTCTAAAGTAATTGAGACATGAAAACAAGATAAGATTTGTAAGTGCGAGAGCGTACATTCGCTTTTGCTTTTAAATTAACGAAGCGTCTAATAGGTAAAAATGAAGAGAAAAAAGCCAAAAAATGTGATAGAAAAGAGCAAGATACAAAAGATTGATGAATCGATTAATTCTCAATGATAAAATGAATAACATCGTAAAGACATTATTTTTGTCGACACCTTGTTCACTGTTTAAAGAATGAGTACTCAATATAGACATACGTAAACTTCAATCGAGGAAACGGAAAACAGAATATTTGTCTACTTGAAAATAGAAAAACTAAAGAAAATAACATCTTCCTCTTAATATTTCTTCTTGTTTACTACAGTTGTTACCATTTTTCATGCATTACACCTTCAAACATCTTTCAGTCAAGCATAATTACCATGAGATGATGCCATCATCTGTCATTTATCATTAAGAAGACATATATTCGTTTATCGAATTTATCATTTTTTATAAAGCAAAAAAATTTTGTTTCTTTCTCTTACTTTGGTGAAATCCGTCAATACTATTTATCAATAGACAGAATCATTCTAATTAACTTTTTTTTCGGCTATTATCTTTTCCTACGAATCATAATTGATTTAGCTATATGACATGTTCATCTTTTAAATAAAGATAAAAATCTAAATAGAATTACACTGATGTATTTCAGTTTATTAGTGTCTATAATATAGAATTATTGACGTAGATGTCTATGATGTTGCGTGATAATGATTGTAATACCATTTTAATATATATATATATATTTATATTTAGAACACCCGAACAATTTCCTTCGGTAGTTACACTATTAGCTGAATCATATAATCCACATGTACGATGTGGTGCAGCAATGGCACTCGGTTTGGCATGTGCTGGTACAGGCAACAGAGTAAATATTACTATTATTATACTTTTTTTTCATTTTATTTTAACATAATTTTATGAAATAATAGGAAGCTATTGCTGTTCTTGAACCAATGTTAAATGATGCTGTAAATTATGTTCGACAAGGTGTTTTAATTGCATCCGCACTTATTTGTATTCAACATACTGAAGCAACATGTCCAAAAGTTTGTAGAAAATATTCTTAACGATTTCCTTATTTATGATAATTATTTCTAGGTGAAAATGTTTCGTGAACATTATATGAAAGTAATTAGTGATAAACATGATGATGTTATGGCAAAATTTGGTGCCATTTTAGCTCATGGAATTCTTGATGCAGGTTTGTCATTGAAAATATTCTTATTTTATTTTACAAAAAACATCATTTATTTAGGTGGTCGAAATGTAACAGTATCATTATTAACACGTAGTGGTCAAACTGATACAATGTCTGTTGTTGGCTTACTTGTTTTTACTCAATTTTGGTATTGGTTTCCATTGAGTCTTTTTCTTTCATTAGGATTTTCACCAACATGTTTAGTAACACTTAATCAAGATCTTAAAGTAAATTAATAGATTATTCATAATTTTCTTTTTTTACTAACGAAGATTTTTCTTTTTGAAATTCTTATAGATGCCAAATGTGGATTATGTATCAAATGCTCCACCATCCGTATTTGCATATCCACCAGCACTTGTGGATAAAAAAGAAGAGAAAAAAGAAAAAGTTGAAACAGCCGTTTTATCCATAACTGCTAAACAAAAAAAACGTGATCTTGAAAAGAAAGGTGACAAATCTGATGAACCTTCAGCAATGGAAACTGTAAGTTATTCGATATTTTGTATAAGTCAAGTGTATATCTATATTGTTTATAAATAATATATCTAGGATTCTGATGAGAAAAAAACAACTAATGCAAATGTTACTACCACAACTACTACTACTACTGCTGCTGCTGCTACTACTACTGATGATACAAAGTCGAAGAAAGAAGGTGATGACAAGGACAAACCGGTCGCAACAGAAAAAAAAGATGAAACAACAGTTGCACCTGTCAAAAAAGAGAAAGAAGCTGATTCTGAAATACTTCATAATCCAACACGAGTAGTAAAAGCTCAAGTATGTATATTATATATGAAATACATAATATGATTTAAAACTTTTTTGTTTTTGTATTATAGCAACGTTTAATTTCATTACCAAAAGGATCACGATATCAATCAATTAAAGATATAACACATGCTGGAATTATTCTTGTAAAGGATACACAAATGAATGAACCGGAAACATTAGTTGAATTAGCTAAAGGTTGAAAAAACAGTGAAATTTTGTTTTATTAAAATTATTTCTCTTGTTTGTTCGTTTTTTTTAGCTGGTGGACCAACAAAAGAAGAAGATTTACCAGAACCATCTCCACCTGAACCATTTGAATATCGAGATGAATAGATACTTTTAATTAATTATCATTAACTACACAACAAAAAAAAAAGAAAGACAATACTGTGTTTGTTATTCAAACTTCTTTCTTTATTCTTTATCAATTATAATAAAACTTTTCTTTTTTCGCATACCATTAAAACCTTCTACTTTGTCCTAGCCGTTTTTTCTTCTGTTTCTTTCTTTCTTTTTTATTATCATTCTGACTGCTAAGCAACAAAAAATAAAACAAGCATGAAAATACCTTTTTCGTTCGTTCGTAATCATATGATTCAAATATTAAATGTAACTTGGGAAAAAAAACATGTTAAAATTATTGTAAGGATGAATAACATAGGAAGAAAAGAACGGCGAAAAATAAATAAAACTGAAAATATTCCAGCTACATTTAATTTCTTTTCACTAGTTAATCGTAGGACTAAGAGATTATTTTACGTGTATATATCACATTTCAGATTGAATCCTTTGATATTTCTGATAGATAATCAAAATAGAAATGGCAACACCACCATCAATTGATTTGGAAGATTTCACTTGTAGTATTTGTAAGTGTGATAAATCTAAGAGAAAAAAAGAAACGGTTTATCTTTTTTACTAACATAGTATTTCTACTTAGTAACTGGTTCGATTGTAAATAATATCTATTTTTGAAAGATAATAATTGTTAGACATGATAATTAAGTCAATGTCGTATGACAATAATATATCACACTATTTTGACATAAAAATCTACTCAATGTCAACATATATTTCTTGTCTATTCTATAATGAATTTATCAATTAGTAAGCGATAATACAATTAGGAAAGGTTAAAATAAAGTATTATCAATTATTTTTTCTATTAAAAATAAAAGGTTGTTAATCAAATATATCAATATGTTACTGATAAAATTTATTTCTTTATATCAATAATTTGATTCATAGGTCGAGAAATATTCGAAAATCCTGTTTGTCTTTCTTGTTCACATTGTTTCTGTCATGCATGTTTAAATGGTTTAAAGAAATCACCGACATCTTCATCATCAGATTTATCATCAGTTCCACAATCTCAATCATCAACTCCAACTCTTATATATAAACCAAAAGTCCATGAAACTAATCAATGTTTTAGCTGTGCGATATGTCGAAAAGAATCATTAGGATATTTAGACTGTCTAGATTTAGTAGCTGATTTAAAAACACTTGAAGCACCATGTCCTCAATGTAAACAATCATTATTGATATGTAATTTACGAAAACATATGGAACAATGTACACAAACAAAGAAAAAAATCAATGTTAATGATATAAAAAATATATTTAATCCTGATTTTTTAAAACAACTATCAACACCACAAGTTCAAGCTTTAGAAAAAGCACGAGAAGGAGAAAATCGTTCAACATTCCAATGTCCTTATTGTGTAACAGCAAAGTACACTATTAATTAATTCTTATTTCTTCTTTTTTTTAAATTTTATTCTTAGTCTTGTTGTAGAAGATCTTTGTAAACATATTGAAGAAAATCATTTAAATGAAGAACCACAACGTGTTTGGTACATATAAAATAAATATATATATTATTTTTTTGGAAATGTCAAGATATTTTTCATATATTTACAGTCCAATTTGTGCATCGATGCCTTGGGGTGATAAACATAAGTTGTCGGCGAATGTATATCAACATATTGTTTCTCGTCATCGATTTAGTTATGGTAAGACTTATTTTTATTTATTTGCCTATATAGTTTATATAATTTTTTTAGAAACCTATGTCAATTACGATCAAAATGAAGATGATATGATAGCCGAAGCTGTTGAAAGATCAATGTTATACTATTAAAAAAAGAAAGACCTTCGATTTTTCTTCTTCCGTATAGATAGTAAAGTTGAGACAGTACAAAAATTTTTATACTTTCTTATCATTTTTAGTCTCGAATTTTATCTGTTGCATTCAAAATGGAGATATTTTTTTTCAGCTATTTAATTTCGTTTCTGAAAAAAATATAAATGTGGCTTAATACATTATATAAATTTTAGAGATTTGTTTAAAATAATAATAAAATATATTGTGATAAAAGAAAAATTTCTTATTTTTGTTTTATATGAATATAAATAATCAAAAGTCTAAGCCAACACTTCGAACATGGGCAAATATAGCCAGTGGTTCATTAGCGGCTACAGGTGCAGTCTTTATTACGAATATGCCCGAAACAATTAAAACTCGATTGCAACTTGATGGTGAAGCATCGAAACGAAGTGCGGGTAGACATAAACAATATGCTAATACATTTGATGCATATAGAAAAATCGTACGTCAAGAAGGATTTAAAGCACTTCAAGCTGGTCTTGGTCCAGCTATTGGAATACAAGTTATAATGAATGGGTTACGTTTAGGTCTTTTTGATCCTATTCAAAAAAAAGTCCGAGATATAACTAAATGTGGAGATCAAAATATTTTCAATAAAGCTTTTTCTGGTGCTCTATCCGGTGCAATAGGTGTAACAGCCAGTTCACCGCTGTAAATAAAAACATTTTTGTTTTTTGTAATTTATGTTATATTTTTGTTGATATTTAGTTATTTGGCAAAAAATCGCCTTCAAGCTCAATCCGCGTATTTTCATGCTGCTGAAGAACATCATTATAAAAATACATTTGATTGTTTAAAAACAATCTATCAAAAAAATGGATTTTTCGGTTTATTCTACGGTGTATCAGCTGGTTTACCACGTGTCATCGTTGCTTCAGCTACTCAGTTGACAACCTATGATAAAACAAAACAATTTGCTATACAAAAACTCAATATACGTGATGGATTTCCAGCTCATCTTTTTGCAAGTTTTGTATCATCGTTGTTCACTGTAACTGTAATGAATCCATTTGATGTTGTTTCAACACGTATATATCAATCAAGTGGAAAAGAAACAGTTTATCATGGTGTTATAGATTGTTTCAGGAAAACTATACGTGCTGAAGGATGGACAGCATTACAAAAAGGATGGTTGGCACTTTATTTACGATTAGGTCCACATACCATATTAACATTTGTTTTTCTTGAGAAAATACGTTCACAGTTTTTAAAATTCGACACATTTCGAAGAGAACCTCAGACTATTCCACTTGATGTTATTGTTAATAGTGATGCTACTTAAAAACAAATATTATTCTATAATAATCTCATTTCCTATTCTTTATACATCTCTATATTTTTATGTATAATTTTGAAAAATAAAAACCATTGAATATCTTGTATTTGGTAATATTTAATATATTTGAGAGATGATATGGGCAACATCATATTTTAAGAAACACGAATGAACTGAATAGGCATGGATACAAGACAAAACTTCATTCTCTTATCTTGTATGTACTGTACATTGCACATTAGGGAATGAAAAAGCAACTTCAGCGAGATACAAGATTCGATTTAGTATCCAATGGTAAGACGAAAAGACAATGGAAACAAATGTTAGTAAATGCATTTGTTGGAAATTTATTAGTCATGATATTAAATATCTTGATTGATTCTTCTACAGAAATTGAATTGCATCGAATATTTTAATAAAAATAATCAATTATAGTAGGTTGATTAAATGTTTTTCCTTGATGAATAGCTAGATTTATAAACAGTATATTATTTGAGTTTAGTTTCATATGATCACCTTCTAATATTTCATTATCGTCACTTTTGTATAAACTAGCTCCATAACAAGAATGCATATGACCAAAAAGATGAATACGTGGTCGAATACGTGTAACAATTTCATCCAGTAAAGCAGGACAACCTAATTGATCTCCCGTTGATTCATTATAGTCACGTATACTATAGGGTGGTCCATGTGTAAGTAAAAGATCAATATCTTCAGGAATTTTTGACCATTTATCTTCTCTTATACGCTTTGCATCATATCCAAATGCTTCTGCTCGATAAAAACAACCACGTTTTGGTCGCCATGGACTACCATATATACGTACACCTTCAATATCAACTAATTGATCTTGTAAATATGTCATATTATTAAGTATTTTTTGACTTTGTTCTGGTTGTTGAGGATTAAGACAAACGCAATGATTACCACTAACAAAAAGTTTATATTTGTGAGGTAATTGACCAACAAACTGATTGAAAATTCTAAGATCACGAGCACTTGTTCGATGTTTAACTGCATCACCACAATGTACAAAAACATTACCATCTGGTATAGAGATTTTACCAATTTCATTATGTGTATCAGACATACAAACAAAACGTAAGCGTTTTAAAGCGGCTCTGTTCGTTTCATGAGGATTACGATAGACAATAAATGGGCGATCTTCAGTTCCTGCACCCAGATTTTGAGCTAAATTAAAAGCAAGCAATTCTTTTTCCTCTTCATTCTCTGGTACATGTGTTAGATGATGAACAGTAGCAGTTGGATGATCTTGAACTCGTGGCACATGACACCTAATAAAAATAATGAATGCATTTCATTTCAAAGTATTTGAAACAGTAAACTTACCAACAACACCAACTATATGACGATGGTTTAAACATTTAAACTACAAAAAATAATATAAATACTCTAGAGTATATCTATATAACTATCAATAAAAAAAGAATGATCAATCAAGTATAGTCTTTACATTTATTTATTTAAGTATGAACGAAGCAACGTGGCATTATTTTGAGTTATATGATTAATAAATTATGACACATTTTCACGACTTATTCTTTCATAATGACGTCTATACTATCAAAGAAAATGATTCCACGACAAAAGAACACAACATGTTTTATCTTGCACAATCTCTAAGAAATTTGTTATTCCTCACTTGGAAACAGTATGATTCATACCATTAGTCACCCTATTTCATGATGTTCATGACGGAGGAACCATATATGGTTTTTAGATAATATATTCATTCATAAGAAAAAAAAAGTAGTTGTGCTCTCATATATATATGTATTTATATTATAAAATACAAATAATAAAGATCGTTTGGAATTAACAACGGAAAACAAACTGAATAGATTACGCACAAATTAATGATTTCTTTCTTTTATTTATGTTTTCGAATAGTTTTATATAATCCATCCTGTACAAACATATGTTGTAAACGACAAGAATAAAAAAAAGAAGAACACAAAGATCAATAGAAGCATTTATATGTTTTGTAATACATACACTGAATGAAAGTAAAAGACAAAATAAATGGTAGACACATAGATTGAAAAGAAAAACAGAGAAGAAGAAGAAGAAGAAAATAGAAAGAATTCTTTTTTGTATAAAGTTTATTTTTCTGTATCCACAATATGATATTGTTGGTAAGGATGATAAGGTGGTTTAACATTATTTTCATTATTTGAAGATGTTGATTGAACAATTAAATGTTCTTGTTCATTAGTATTAGTATTATTAAATCGATGTGTTTTAAGCCAAAGATTATTTAATGAATCATCTTCAGATACATATTTGGATGACCAATCATCATAGAATTTTGTAAAATGATTATATTGTTCAAGTGCTATTTTTTTATGATTCTAAAAGAGAAGAAAAGAAATTCAATAAATAAGAAATTGAATTAATTCAACATACTTGTTTCGTAGAACGTAATGAATCACGTTTATAAAAAAAGAAGCCAGCACGATGAAATGGTTTACGTTTAAGCGTTTTAGTATCAATTTGACAATAATCATTATTTATTGTTATTATTTTAGGTGTTGATGGATCGTTTGATAGTCGAAGATTTCTATTTTAATTAAACATAATATAATTTAATAAAATGACTTTTTTAATCATACCGATGTAAAAATCGAGGTTTTTTTCTTAATTTTGCTCTTAAACGTGCCATTGTTGTATCATCATAATCACCTTCATTACCATGTAAATATTTTTCAGCATAATATGTACCATTCTCAACTATTCTTTCTTCATCATCATCATCCGATGAATCAACAACAATCAATGAAGTTGTTACTCGACGATCATTTTTAAACTAAACAAAAAATCATATTTATTTTAATTTTATACTCAAACAAAAGTATAAATCACGTACGAGACTACTAATAGATCATTTCTATTTAACTAATATCTTGATTACATATAAAAACATTGAGTTTCATGACATCATTTAATCTTTTCGAACTATTATAGATAATAACTTCAGGAAATGAAACTATATATTCTCTTCCTTTCATGTCAAGCTCGTATTCTTTATTTCTATAAAACTATTGTGATTATGTTTATCTATTCTATTATTTATAGTTTTTGATTAATAAACATTAACATACTGAACATATACGAAATAAACGATTTCCATCAGCATAGGTTTCCATTTCACGTTGATAAGCAGCTTCTGCATTTTGTTGTGATGTTGAATAAAGATTATCAACAAGACCAACTGAACCATTTGGACGTGAATATAACCGCATAATTGCATCCAATGATTCGTCTGTGACAATAGCTTGTAACTAAAAAATAGATGAATTAGAAAAAAATATTTTAATCAATATTAAATTTTAACATACTTGTCGAACACAATTATGAATAATTTTGTCCATTGTAAAGGCAATATATGCATGAATACCAAACATTTCACGTAAAGAATCTTCATAAGATGAAGCATCCATATTGCCATCAAGTAAATTTCGAACCATATCAAGAAATGCTGAATAATATTCATCAACCGGTATATTCGCTATTTAAAAACAATTAAGATTTTTCTTTTATGAAAGCAAAAAACCACTTACGACGATTTGATAAACGAAGTACACTAGCAGCAGATGTTGGTCGATTACGTTGTGAACTATTTTCTTGTTCAATTAATCGTAATGATTGTTGAAACATTTTTAATAAACGTTCACATAATAATTGATGAAGACGAAAAAAATAATAATAATTATCATTAACAAAAAATAGATGAAACATATCATCCTATTGAATAAATAATAAATTCAAAAAAAAGAATTATCTAAAAATATTTCTTACAGGTTTTTGAAATTCTTGTGCAATTTGTCGTGGTTTTGTTGTTGAAGATTCTGTTGTACGACGTCGATTTGTATCTGTATGACGAGTTGGTCGAGTTCGTTTATCACGTTTAGTATTATTCTCATTATCATCATCGTCATCATCTACAGAAAAAAAAATAAAAATAAGTTATAAACAATAATTCAATATGAATTTACCTTCTTCGTCGTCACTTAATTCTCCACGTGGTGAAAACAGGAAATCAGGTAAAAATTGATACATAATTTTTTTAATATTTTGTTTATCTTCTTTATCAAATGCCATTTGACGTTTAACAAGAAAAACAATTAATGATGCAGCATCATCAAGTATAGATAAATCTTCATAACGATATATAAGATGCGGTTGATTATTATTTAAAGTTAATTGTTGATCACGCTAAGAAAAAAAAACAACCATGAAAAGAAAAGAAAATATTTTATCAATTACTTCAGCTTTAATATTTTCAATTTCATTTAATAAATGACGATTTCGAATAATTCTTGCATCGGAGTTTTTACAATTTATTCCCATATAATCTAAAGATTTAAGATAATATTTTTCACTTTGTTCTTTCCAAAAACGTTCAAAATTCTTTTTTGATTCACGCCATTCTTCATCTTTAGATTTTAAACTAAAAAGAAATTATTTTTATATATACACAAGAAAGACAAAAGAAGTTTCACACATACCGTTTTAAAACAATTGGAACAGCAACACGTGGATTTCTTTTTAAACCATCAATAATTTCACTTGCACGTTCACCATAAATTCTTTGTACAGCTTGTCTTTGAGTAAATGCTGATTGTCCACCTAATTGATCATCTAATTGAAAATTATTCAATTGTTCTGATGTTAAAGAATTCATTTGTGATTGTACACTTTCTAATGCTCTTATTGCACTTAAATTAACTTCCATAACAATATCAAGTTCAAAACGTTCATCTTCTATTTTATACATATGTTCTTCGAAAATACTTTTCTTTGCTGCGACGGATGAGGATTCATCAGTAAATGTTGGAAATAAAACACAATGATCATTAAGTACTTCTTTACATAATTGTGTTCGGCCACCGCATGCTGGAGGATTATAAGAACGTGGTACAGATCGATAACTTGTACCATATTGCGAACATGAACCATAATCTAAGAATGAATAGAAATATTTTCTTTATTTCTCGTTATTTAAAACTTACCAATACTAATCATACTATCAGTATCATTTTGATCATAAATACTTTTTGGAATAATAACTTCTCCTGGTTCACTTAAATTAATTAATTCTTGAAATGTTTTTAATAATTCTGGTACATGACTGGAAAATAAAAGAAATTTTAATATATATCATTTCGAAGAAATCTTATTTACCTAAGATAAGATTGTATAAGTTCAAATAATTCAATACGAGATATAATTCGTTTTGTATAAAGAAGTATACAACGTAAAAAATTATCGAATACCAATGGACTACGAAGACTTTTTTGGACCTGAATACATTTAAATTAATGAATTTTAAAAGAAGAAACAAAAAATATTACTTTGTCAAAAAATGCGATTTCATCCATTGAAGGTAATTTTTTATTTTGTCCTGTTGAATCTCGAATAGTTGTCTCATTTATATTTAATGTTGTTGAAATATTATCTGTAATTGTCATACGTTTTTTCTTTGGTATTCCAGTTGGTTTCGATGAAGAAACCGAACGTTTATTTGTATTTGTTGATGTTATTATTGAAGTACGTATTGGTGATAATGGAAGACTTGTTTCATCTTTAATTGCCGTTGGTGGTAGAACAGTAATTGATGGAGTTGATGTTGTTGTATTCGAAGTATTATTGTTATTATTATTAATTGTTAAAAATGATGTTGATGATGATGGCATCGTATTATTTATAATTAAACGTGATCCTGTATTAGTTACAATTGGATTTGTTGTTATTGGATGTATTGGTGGAGTTGAAGCACCTGATGATGATAGAATCTCCGTTATAGTATTTGCAAGTTCCTATAAAAATGACAAACGAAAAAAAAAATAAATCAAAGTTATTGGTATTTAATTTCAACATACAGTTGGTTGTTGACTAGCATCAGGTAAAAATTGACTAAATTCTGCAAGAAGATCTTCATGATTAGTAAATAATTGTGCTACTTTAGCATAAACTTCTGTTTCAGATAATATAACTGGTTGATTATTTGCTCCATTATTTGTTGTTGTTATTGGCGTTGTTGCTGTTATCGATTGAACTATTAAATTTAGTTGAAAAAAAACTATTTTATTAATAATTCATTACCTATTGATGATTCTTTTGCATCTTTTTGTTGTTTTTGATATGTATGAAGAATTTCAAGAAATGTTTTATATACATTTGGATTTCTACAAAACAAAAATATACATATGTAACAATTTTCTTATAAAGATTAAATTGTAACAAATACATACTGATGAAATCGATTTTTAATTTTATTAACATAATTAATTGCATGATTAAATTCAACTGGTTGTCCATTAGAATTTGTAGTCGTGTTATTGTTATTAGTATTAACATTTGATGCTTGTTGTTTATTTGTTTTTGCTGATATATTTAATCCACCTGTTGTACCAAAAAATGGTAATTGTGGTGAACTAGCAGCTGATATTAATGCACTAACTGCTTGTGATGTTGTATTAATTGATTGTTGTTGTTGACTATCATTTGTTATTTGTGTTTCATCATTATCTTGATTTAATAAATTTGATGTTTGACGTATAGATGCTGATGAATGATATGTAGTTGATGTTGGCGTTGTTATTGCGAGATTATAAGTTGAACTAGGATTACCAATTTGAATTGATTCTATTCGTGATGATGGATGAGTCACTTGAATATAACCAATATGGTCATCACTAACTTCAATTTTATAACCTGGAGGTAAAAAGGTATTGAAACCAACGATCAAATCTGGATGACCATGAAAGAGTGTTGATACACGATTTATAACTTCTTGAGTATCAATACTATAGGGAAAAAAAGAATTTGAATATATATTTTTCTGTTTTTGAAAAATGACTAACCTTTGTGATTTGAACTCTTTCATAATATCCAAAAATTGATTGTATACTTGCGGTTGAAGCGCAAATTGGTTCTTCACCTTATCGAGATAACTAAGTGCATCCTCCACTTTAAGGCGCTAAGAAATAATTTAATGATAAAAATATTTTTGAAGCAAATAATTGATTATTTACGTACTGAAGATGTCGATTGCCCTTGGCTGGATGTAGTGTTATTATTTGGTGGAAAAATTCCACCAGGTAAATTAGCAAAGAGATTTATAGGTGACGAAGCGCTAGAAATATTCGTAACAATAGTTGCACTAGTTGATGGTGGTCGTCTAAAATAAAAAAATATTCAAATTTTATTTAATCATATAAACAACATACGTTGAAGGATTTTGAACAAGTGTTGATACAATTGTATTCAAACCCTAAAATATATATAGTTAGAAATAGAATATTATTAACCTAATTTTTTTATTCTATACCAAACTGCCACTATTAGCAGAAGTTGGGTTCATAAGATCGAGTTATTTGAAAAACAACACATACAACATAAACTCTTGTTAATCAATAAGTTTTCAAGATTCGTCAATCAAAAAAAATAAAATGAATAAATGACGATTTGAAAATGTAAGCTAGAAGAAAAAAAAAGAAAGAACAGTAGATGTTTGATAAAAATATATCTTATCGATAAGCGCTATGTATGTTTCAAGGTTAACATTGTCTGTAACGACAATAGATAATCGTCCAATAGCAATGAAATATGTTGCCATTATATCGATATATATATATACTTTGTCCTCCATTATCTCATCATTGATCGAAGAAAGAACAAATAAGACGTGACGATGATTAAATGCATATTTTTTCTATTTTTTTTTCCTAGCTTATTTTATTGTTTTGTTCTGTTTCTTTATAGTATTTATGTCAAGCTTAGAAGTTGATCTATCTTATTTTTTTTTAATATATTAATAGAATTTATTTGCCACACCTCTTTGTTTTATCAACAAATAGATATAAAATATTTACGACACACACACATAGAAAAAAACAACAGGTCAATGATGTCGCTGTTTTCTCTTTTTTTTCTTGTTTCTTAAAAAAACTATATCTTGTTCTTTCTGTCGTATAGTAAACCATATCTTAGTCATGACAATAATAAAAATAACAACAATAATTATTATTATATTTTGTTTTGATATAGGTGTTTTTATCTACTTTATTTATTAGTTATATATTCTGACAGTAGATCATTCACATGAATAACGTCCCCCTTCCCACATTGTTTGTCTTTTTTTTCGAATATCGAAGTAATTATCTTTAGTTTTTTTTCTCTCTATTTTTTGTCCGTTTCGTGCATTTCGTACACTTGGAGAGACGCCAACAATCGAGAGAATAAATAGATACAATATGATTAATACGAGGGAAAAAAAGCCACCCACAATATACACTACTATGGGTAAGTGTCGTCAGCTGCATCTTCATACTTTTTGTTTGAAAGTTTGTTATAGAATAAGTTTTCTTTTCATATATATATATATATAAGACAATCGACATATTTTGAAAACATTATAATTATTCATGAGAGGAAATTAACTTCGTCAGAGACTTGTTTATCTCTCTCTCTCTATATATATATACATATAGAATAATTATTACTAACAAGGTATTGAATATATTGTTATTTTAATATGTAAAATAAATTTTATTTCTTTTGAATTTTACTTATAGAAATGTTAGAAAGAATAGGATATGTGGAGTACATAGGAAGAACGACAACAACAACAAGTTTCTCCAACTTTTATTCTTTCCTTTTTTTCCTGTTCCTTTCTTTCTTTACATACAAAATATGTTTTTGTCGCTTCTCATCTACTCAGAATAAATATTCATGCAATACACGTCAACATACACGCGTGTTTACGCGCATCTAAATACTCTAACATAAACTCGTACACACATGCTATAGAAAATAAAAAGGAAAAAAAGAAAAAACAATATCGAGGAATTACTTTTTCGATTGGTCAGTTATTTTTTTATTTTTATTATTTAACCTAAGGTAAACCTTAGGAAAAAAAAGGAAATAAGTACGTGTCATCGCTGTTTTTCGTTACTATTTATAGATTGTTAGTATACGTCATATATTTTTCATGATTGTTTCAATTTAAGATATATAGAATTATAAACCTTGACAGGAGCATATAAAAAAACATTGTTATATATATATATTAATTTAAAGATATTCTCTATGCACCTTCTTTTTATATAATTAATGTAGACTATAATATAATAATGATCAACCTATTAATTTCTATAAAAATATAAATAAGTAATACATGTTCAAGTATATTACAAAATTATATTTCTCTTTTTCTCTTTTCTTTCTTTATGTTGATAAGGCAAAGAGTTGAAATTAAATAGAAAAGGAAGTTCAAGCTCTTTATCATGTTTTTCCGTTTTTTTCTTCTTCTTCTTCTTCTTCATCTTTTATTCTATCCTTTATATATTGATGAAGATAAGGAGAAGACAATTCAATTATTCTTAGTTTACCGTTTATATTACATGTCATGGAACATAAGATTTCTAACGTCATCAATGACATAGATGTCTATCTCTGTACGTCTGAGTAGAAATTATTTTATAAAAAGAAGAAAAAAAAACACTTCTATAAATATTACATAGAATATATTTAACTTTATAGATATAAAATAATTTGAAATGGCATGTTGGTTGCAACAACCGACATCAAATAAAGATTTATGCGATGCTATTGATGCAGTAATGAAACCTGAACATGAAGATGTTATTTTATTTGATGATGCGTTATCATCTGGAGCACCGTTAGATCTTGATCTTGATTCAATTTCTGATTTACTTGAAAATCCATCGATGACATCAGGAATTTCAACATCAATTGTATCTCCAATGTCACCATCATCATCTTCAATGACAGGAACAAATGATTATTCTCAACCACTTAATATTTATGATATAACACCAACAACATTTTCAACTAATAATAATAATAATAATAATTCTCAATCAAATACAATGACATCAGGATATTCATCATTGGGTATAAGTCCAAAATTTACAACATTAAGTATTAATCAACATCATCATCCATTTTCACCACCATTACAAGATTCAAATAATTCTTCAACGCTTCTTCAACCATTTCTACAACAATCTTTGAATTCAAAAAATAATTTACATCCACCACCATTTCTTCAACAACAACAAGATAATTCTAATCTTGGTACAACATTTCCATTTGAATTACAAGTCAATAATGGTCCATCCGATGTTAAACGTTTTCGTTCAGCTAGTATGAATGAAGGAGCAACACAATATCAACAAGCTAAAATAGGTAAATACTTTTTGTTTTATCTTTTTATCTTTTTCAAAATATAAAACAATCTATTTTAGATCCTCATATATTTGATCCGTATCGTAATCGATCACATACTTATGTAACTCCACCATATTATCAAGGTAAAACATCATCATTAACAAGTACAACCGCGACAACAACAGCATCATCAACATCATCAATTTCAACTGATGTATCATCAAATTCAGCATGGCCATTTGTTGATGATCCTCGGCCAACATCAATTTCATTTTCTGAAGTATTAAACCAACAACAACAACAGCAACAACAACAACTTCGAATAAATAATAATCTATCAACATCATATGGAGGTTCACTATCATTATATTCACTTCAAGAACAACGAAATTCAACAGGATTTGTACCGAATATTAATTTTCAATCTCAACAGCCAACTAATTGCACATTATATTCACTTAATCAACCAACAAATGGTGCTACGCCATCGTCTCCTACACGAAAACGACCATCTTTAGTTGGCTTTTCTGTTGATGATATTAAAGGTATTTTTTCAAAAAACTAAAAATGAGATATTTCTTTTCTATATTCAAAAATATAAAATTTTAGATAATCCACATAGTCCAAATGGTACAATTGAACAACAAAGTGAAGCTGATCTATGGTCAGATATTGAACAAAATTCTTCTGATCGTTTTCAAGATAATGATCTTGATGGTGATGGTGATGGTGATGAATTAACATCCGATGATGAAACAACAACAATATCAGGCAATTTTAATATGGATTCAAAAACAACCCAACCAAATCCATCATATTCAAATTCTTCTTCACTTTTCTGGCAATATAATGTCCAAGCTAAAGGACCAAAAACAAAACGAATACTTTATTTAAAAGAACGTGATCCACATTTATTTCGAGAATTTAGTGATCCGGTTTATCAAATAAAATTAACTCAAACACAAAGTGGTCAAACATTTACAAAACTTCGAAAAGGTGATGGAAATGATGTTACACCAAATCCAATGAAACTTTATCAACTTGGAAAACAAATACGAGATTTATCAATGAGTGGAAAAACAAATACAAATGCACCATCAGTTTATCATGGAATATATCATGTTGATCATCAGTCAAATGCTAATGATACAGCTGAGGTTAAAAAAGAGAAAAATAAAATCGCTAGTCGGTTAGTAATCCTAATAATAACAAAAAAAAAAGTTTGTTTTTTTGTTTTTACTCTTATGGTTTATTATTCAGAGCGTGTCGACTTCGTAAGAAAGCACAACATGAAGCAAATAAACTCAAATTACATGGGCTTAATGAAGAACATAGTAAGTCCTCTTATCAACATTTTTTTTTCTCTTATTTTATATTAAACTTAAATGAAAACAGAAAGAATCTTTGGTATAGATTGGTATTTAATAACTTTTCATATTCTATTTTTGTTTCTTCTGTTAAGTCAAAGATATTATCTCATACTTATTTTACTTGTGGGAGATTATAAGGAAAAATAAGAAGAACAAGGTATTGAAATATGTAAAAGATAAATGAGAAGAAATTTTCTAATCTGCTTATTTTCTCATATTAAACAAAAAATGAGAATTTAATGAGTTTCAAAATTAAATTTTTTTTTTTTTCTAAAAAATCAAATATTTTCTTAGAAACATTAATCGATTTAATTGCATCGATTAAATTACTTATACTCAAACGATATCATGATGGCCAACTTGCTTCTCCTTCATCATCACCAAATCAATCACTTGAAACAGCATTTGAGCAATTAGTTGCTCATAAATATAGTAACAACATTATTAATTTATCACTTATAAAGATATTTTATTTCCTATAATTTTTAGATCAACCGGTTGCAGGAAATACTGATGGTTTTGTTCAAGGAATCATAAATGATATGGAACAGATGTACGCTACGAAACAACAACGAAGTCTTAGTAGCGTTACATAAAGAGAACTTCATACACACATATATATATATATAATTTTTTGTTTATTTTCTTTTAAAAAATACAGTATTCATGTAACCTATTTTTTGAATGTTCTCCGGTGACATGATTAACAATGTGAAAAAAAAAGAAACGTTTCTTTTTTAGTCCGGTGTATCTTTATTTAGTGATGATACTTGCCGGTTAATTTTTGTCTTCGTATTTTTGTGTGATTACCTCAACTGTGTTTTTGCTTTTTTCTTTCTTTTCTTTTTTGTACAAAGTATTATTTTCTTTTTTTTTGTGTTTCATGTGTTTAACAATCATCGTTCATTCAACGTCGATCATATGTCCCGTATATCCTGTTTGTAAATTTATTTTTCTTGATTTTGTACAGAAAGACAAACAATCGCTTTATTGTGTACGAGCTGTGTGTGTCAACGTAACACCGGATTTGTTTATTCTTTTGTTTTTTCAAAAACTCTATATATTCATTTCGTGTTTTTTCTTTTCGTCTTCTTCTTTTAGTCAGTCAGTATGTTTATAACAAAGAAAAAGGATATTGATCTATGGCGAATATCAAAAACTTGATAACTAAATAGATTAATTTTTGTTCGTTTATTTTCAGCTCATAAAAAGAAATTCAACTATATTACTTTTTCAATATTGTATTTATAAGAAATTTTAATCTGTATAGTTTTTATTTAACAAAAAAAAACAAAAGAATATTTTATTTTTTTTTCTCTATGAATTAAATCAATTTTCATAATACATGAAAAAAAAAGAAGCTTTTTATTCTTTTACTAATGAAATATGATATACTAAATTGTCTGTATTCTAAATATTTTTACAATAAAAAAATAATTTATGGATTATTGAAGAAGTTCTCTTTTGTTTATCTAGAAAAGAATAATCTAATGCTTTTCTATTATTAATTTCAAGAATAAATGCATAAAATTATCTTGTTTTTATGCTTCTGCTATAATTCCAATTCACTTTCTTTTTTATTATAAAAACAATTCGATATTCTTATATTGTAAATAACTTTGTAATTATAATTTACAAATAAAAACCTTATCGAATTTAATTAAGAAACTATATATTGATTGATTCTATATCAAATTCAAGTTTCAGAATGATAAAAACTCCGAAGAACATACATGGAGAAGACATATAAAAAACTATATATATATATTGAAATGATGTAAATATATCTAATCAGATAGCCTTCAATAGAACTAATGTAGTCATATTTTGAAAAAGAAATCAATAAAAAAAAAGTGAGTCTGTCTGTTATTTAATAATCATAACATATAGTACGAAGATACTTTTTTATATAAATAACATATATGAATCTTTTAGCAATTAGACATAATAAAACTTCATAAATCATTTCTTCATGATTTTTCATTACCATGCAATTTGACATTTATTAGATCAAATAAAAATACTTTTAATTTATATATAAATGTATATATTTGCTTACTCAGGTGGTTCACATATGTGACTTTTTTTCTATCATGAAAAATAAATATGTATGTTATATATACATTAAAAGTTAATTTATCAATATATCTTTTGAGCATTTTGATTATGAATAATTTACATTGAAATATTTATTATATATTTTGAATATAAATTAATAATTATGAATTATTGATTATTTTCTTAATTTTCTATTTCCTTTTTTATTAAATAAATATAATTAATATATGTTTTATTATTTATCTTTTGAGTACATCATACTTCGAAGCAATCATGCATAAAAAGATACAACCATGATACAAAACAATTCATATCGATAATTATAGGAAAAAAAAAAGGAAACCATATCAAATATTTGTTTCGTTACATACATATAACTTTATCATTACGATAGCGATACAACCAATAACAATTATAATAAATCATTTACTTAACATAAAAATATTTGTTTTCTAATTTATGTTGTTGTGAAAAATAAAACTAGTCATATCTTGTTTTCATATGAAAGAAAAAGATTTATTTGTACATATAATCTATTATTGACATTTGTTTTTAGAATCAATTAAATATAAAAAGTCAGTGTTATTATGTATCTAAAGAATAGATATTGATATATATTTTTTTTTGTTCTACTTATTTATGTAAAAGTAAAAACAGTTTCAGCTTTAGGTCCTTCCGTATCAGCTTCGAATTCATTATATGATGGTGGTTCTATTGTTTGGTCTGTTCGTGAATTCAGTAGTTTATAACATGCATCATTTTCCATTCGTCTAGCAACTACAGCTGGTGTAAAACCCTCCTCATTAGTTGCATTTGGATCACCACCACGAGCAAGTAAGGTTTCAATAATAGGTATTTGTACACCATAACCTTGTGCTGCTAGATGTAATGGTGTATTACCTGAATAATCTTTGGCATTGATATGAGCACCAGCATCAATTAACATATTACATATGTTTTGATAGCCAAGTGCAGAAGCTAACATTAATGCACTTGTACCGGTTTCTGGATTCAGTGTATTGATATCAGTATGATGTTCGATAAATTTTTTCAGTAACTCTTCATTTTGAAAACGAACTAATTAGAAAATAGAAGAAAATGAATTTTTTTTTTCTTAATTTCTCCAATAAATTCTTTACCAGAACAGAGTAGTGGTGTTTCATTATACGATGGTGTTTGTGTTGCATCAAGACGTTTAGCAGTATCAGCTTGATAATGTACGTCATGTAATGGATCTGCTCCAGCATCAAGTAAGAGGTCAGCTAATACGCCTGTTTTAGAATTTTCTTCAACACGTAATTTAGCCAAAATTACAAGTGGATGATTACCATCAAATCCATTTGCTACATTTGGATTACTGCCAAGTTCAAGTAAAGTTTTGACAATGTCAACGTCACCCAATAGACATGCTAAACCTAATTATTAAATAGAAAAAAAAACAAGGTCTTAGAAAACGATTGTATTTCTTAATATTACCTATAGCAGTATTGCCATCAGCATCAATTGCTTGTTGTAATAGTCTTGGTCGTTCCGCAGCTAGTTGTCGTATTACAGGTATATTTCCATCAAAAATGGCATCACGAAATACTTTCATTTTATAAGGGATAAGATACGAAAATAATAATTTCGTCGTATGAAATGCTAATCGCCAAGACATCTTACGTTTGCTATTGAAACTAAGACAATAATCAACAATATACACGAATAGTTTCTTACACCACTCTCCTCGTTATTGTGCTTTTTAGTTGCAGTTGACTGCACATATATATTTATATTTCTATAAACACCTACGTTAATATATGTTTAAAGTCACGTCCCGACGCGCGTGATCTACTTCGTATAAACGAATTTTTCTTCTTGTAATTTTCTTTTTTTTTATTCTCGCTCTTTAAAATGATTATACAATACGTAAAGATATACAACAAATAAACATAACGGAAGAATATACATATGAAATGAAATTGAAATATAGAAAAAGAAAAGAATATAATCAATGAATGAATGATTTTTCTCGTACAAGTTTAACAATCATCATTAATATAGAATAATCCAAAGAGAAAAGATAAAATAAGTGAGTAGAATATACAGTCAATATTGATTTCCTTTTTTGTTTTATTTTTGTATATACAGATGTAAAATAAAAGATCTTATTGATTCCATAAGCCTGATTGACGAATTGTTTGTTGAAGAAGAAATTGCGCTTGTTGAATTTGATTTGGATTACCTGTGATTGTTATTAATCGATCATGTGTACCTTTTATTGGTTCAGAATCAATTTTAATTGATGCACCTGATTCTTGTCGAATTTGAGAAATTTTTGAACCTTTTGTACCAATAACAATACCTTAAAAATAAGTTTAGATATAATTTCATAAATAATCAATTGAATTATTTTTTTTACCAGCCATTTCAGTTGGAATAGTTACTTGTGCTGTTGTTACTGCTCCACTTTGTTGATGTAATGGATTATAATTACTAGCACGATTTCTATTTGTATTATAACCATCATCTGGATATGATCCACCATATGGCGGATAACCTTGAGGTGGGGGTGGTGGTGGAAATGAACCATAACTAAATATATGATTAAAAGAAAAGTAGAGAGAGAGAGAGAAGAAATATTATTTTAACATACGGATTATTAACATATGCCGAAGCATTATTGTTTCGAAAATTTTGTTGATTATTGCCCATAAAATTATCTGAATAGCCTCCATATTCTGCAACATTAAAACCACTATAGGATGATGGATCATAATAACGATATAAACCACGTGGTTGAACACTCTCAAGTACACTATAGACTTCTGTTAAACATCTTAAAACATCATCTTTATTGCCACGCATAGAAATGCCTAAGTATTAATAATAAAAAGAAAAGAAAAGATGAAGAATAAAATTTAGTTTTTTCGTTTTTCATACATCTTTCTGTTGAACCACCAGGACAACATTGAGGATAAACTTTCACATCAATATTATCTAAATTGAAATTCATATAAGATTCTACTGCTTCTCAACTCATTCGAAAAACATATTCTACCTGTCCTTTGAACTCACGTTTCTCTCGAAATTCTTTGACTCTTGATGCTCCTTTGCCTAAAAAACAAAAAAACATTTATTTAGTAATGAACAAACAAAAGTAATTTTGTAGAAATTCTTACCAATCAATGCTCCTGCTTGTGATTGATGAATAAGAGCACGTACTTCACTTTGATCAGATTTATTTGAACGTTGATGATTTTCAGAAATACATGAAAGTATATCAGATATACAATTAAGTACGTCTGTTTGGTCACCATTAACAATTAAAACACGTTCGGGTACATCACAATCAGCCATTTGAATTTGACAATGATGTTTAAGACGAAGATCTTGAATAATTTTTCCACCTTTCCCAATAATTGCTAAAGAAAAATATGAAAATTAATTTTAATAACTTTAAACTAATCCCTTTTTTCTATACCTCCAGCATCACGAGATGGAATTAAGAAACGAAAATCAAATTTTCCATTACTCATGGCACGTTTTCGTCTTCCATCTTGTGATTGATCATCACCAGTAGTTCGTCTGGAATTCATTGAATTATATTCTTGATTGTCCAACATTGATATTAATATGATGATTTGTTTTTTTTTGTTTTATTATTATTCAATCAAACACATATGCACAAACACGTCTATACAATCACTGATTTGAAATATATCTAACAAAGATCTTTCTAAAATAAACTTAAAGCAAAAGCTCAACCATAAAAACGTTTTTTTTATTTGTTCATATGAAAATCCAATAATAAATAACAAGAAGTATTTTCTATAATATTCTTTATAAACAAGAACATTGTTCTTTTAAGAATGCTAATTGGGAAATCTATATCAAATAATTCTCGTTTTCTTTTTTGACAGATTTTATTTTAATAATAGATGTCGCTTGTTGATAGTCTATCGAATAAAATAAATATACACATGTACAATCATATGTGAGATCGATTTTCTTTTTTCTTTATTACATTTTTGTTATTTGTTTTTTCTATTTATAAAATGACAGATAGAGATTGGAAGACTAATCTATTGAATTGACATGATGATTGCATTCATTTTAATAGAAATGAAACGAACCATGACATAGAAAAGATATGCAGTGCACGAAATACATATATTTTAGAAATCGAGCGAAGAAAAATACTGAATAATTCTATTAATGAAATCAAATAAATTACTGATAAAATCTATAAACATTACTAATTATTTAGAAGAGAAATAAAGTGTGAATAACTTTTTATTTTGTCTCAAATCCATGAAAATTAAAATAGTAATTGTACTTGACTTATTCAAAAATCTTTATATTTCATTTCATCAAAGGTTATTGAGAAGATTATTTTATTTCTTTCATTGTCAAGTGTTTTCAAAACAATACAAAACCTTTTAAAAAAAAGCCCTTGATATATACATGCATTTCTTTATTTTTGGATATAAGAACAAAAAACAAAAGGTAAAATACTCGTTCCGGTCGATAAAGTATATAGATGCTGTAGAATACTGGTTGATTATTATTAATATTCTCAGCCTATCTTAACTACTGATTAATGTAACAAAAAGAAAATAGATGTTCGTTTGATGTCATACATTATTTGCACATTACGGACCGTAATCAATCTATGAAAAAAGCTTATTATACTATCACTATCGTTTTTCTTGTTTGTCTCTGTCTCTCTCTCTCCCCCCTTCCTCTCTCTTCTATTTCTTTTTTGTTTTATACACATTTATTTCTATTGCCATATGATGGTTACATATGGTTTTTTACTAGCATCATTTCACATTTTCACTCGTCTCTATGCTTGCCTGACTGCATGTGCAGCTGAGAACACGAAAAAAGCAAATACATATCGTCGAATCAGTTTGCGAAAGGATAAAGAAACCGCATGTTTGCTTCGTTCGTAAGAAAATATAAAGAACATAAATGATTGTGTCCGTGAAAACACAACAAAAATGATACTCATACACTTACATGAGATTAAGAACAACGATTTCTAGTAAGTAAAAGAACTTTTTCTCTTCTTCAATCATCTATGAAAAATCCTGAAATTAGTACATGTCAGTTATTAATCGTCTATATCAAACCGATGTTTAGAAGAAGAAAAAAAGTGTAAGTTTCAAACAGATATTTGTTATCATATCAACCAATGATTACCATAGTAAGAGTTTTTCGTTTTTCAAAAATTCGTTGAAATAATAAAGAAATAAATTTGTTTTATTTTGTCTGGATGTACTTTGTTCTCTTTTCGTCTCTTATCCCATAGCTAATATTCTCAGCAGGTGATAGAATGATGATGGTATTGTGTATGATGATAAAATGTATATAAAAAAAAGAATAAAAACCCATTTGACCTTAATATATTGTATAAATATATGTTAGCTAAGCAATACTGTAGATGGATGCGAAAATGTTTTGCATATGAATTATCATCGACATAAATATGCTTTTTCATTCCTTTGATGAGAATTTTAACATATCAAGGGTAGTTACCCTGTTCTTTTTTTTTTTTATAAATAAATTTTATCTATGCAGATGCATTGATTTGCGTCAGCTGCTTTGATTGTATAGCTTGTCGTAAATGTTATTTTTGTTTCTAAGATTGTTTTTAGATAATGCAGCGTTTTATTTATTTCGTTTGCGTCCTTGTTGTTCTATTGAATATTCATTATGGATCCTGTTCGGAGATAGTTATTGATAATGGTGTTCTTTCATTAAATGAAGGAGACTATAATGATGATAATGAAGATACCTCTCCTGTATTATCATCATTATTACCAACAACAACAATATCAATAGAATCATTTGTTGAAGATATTGTGGATAATGTTACAGAATCAATAACAATAACGACGACAGAGATTACAGTTATAGATAATACTACAGTAATAAATGAAGAACAATCGAAACAATTTCTTACAGAGGTAAATAATAATTGAAAAATTTCTCCATATGATGTGTCTTAAGTGAATCATTACCAGCTGTTACGAACGAATGTAGTAACTTTATCAAGATTAGTTCGATTAATTGTGTGTAATTATATTCATATTCACACATTTAAATATACGAAAAGTTTTATTATTGGCCATGAAAGAAATAATTTGTTTTGCATCAACTATTTTTAACTTTCGATAAAGAAAATCTTATCTCTATTTTAGTATCCATTAAATGTCAACCTATCATCATCATCATTATCTGATCTAACATTTCATACTTATTCTAATGATTCAATTCTTCTTGTTTTTGAAGATCATGAAATAGTATTAATTAATAAAAATGACGGAACAATTAAATCTTATTATAAATATACAAATATTATTCCAACTAATCAACCAAACGTAAGTATTTAACTAATATATTTTTATTCGAATTAAATATATATGTATTTCTTATAGTTTCTTGTGATATATGATGATAATACTCAAGAACTTTTAATATTAAATTCTAATCATGAACAAAAATCACAAATTTCTTTCAAACCAATACATATTTATTCATTTCCATCAATAAATAATTTATGGATTGCAGAAACATCTGATGAAACTGCTGTAAGAAGTTTTTTTTTCTGTTTCTATAAAACTTTAATTTCTTGAAAATATTAGTTATATATCAGTGATAATACCGGTATTAATTGGAAAAAAATCGATGATAGTAGTAGTTCTACAGTTCTTGGATGGTATATCGTTTGTTTCATTAATACTTATTAATATAATGATATATTTATCTAGGTCTAGCAAAGCCAACTCTATTGTTATTGTACAACATTCTCGATATATGAAATTACTTGATGCAACAACACATCAAATATTGCCTATCTTAACCGATGTATCAGTAGCAAAATTGTTTTCGCGTTATTTATTTGTAAAACGATCTAATATAAATGTAAAAAGGAAATTTGATTTTTTATCACGGATAAATGAAATATTTTTTTTGATTTAGGATTCAGTTACGATTAGTCATATAAATAACTTAGCTGATGGAGGCTTTCGATCATTACCAAAACGATTACAATCACAAGGAAATGTACGAACAACAACAACAAATTTTTTTGTTTTTTTCTTTATCTAGTCGATTTATTTTAGTTTTATTGTGCTATTGAAGATAAAAATACTCAAGATTTATTACTTCTATTTATTACTGATAAGAAATTAGAAGAAAATAATGAAACAATATCATCATCATCAACATGTAATCTTATTAGTTATTCCAAACAATCTTCATTTAATTTAACAAATATTAGTTGTCCATTGAATCATAATGATAATTTATTGAAATCAATCGAGTAAAATAAATTATAACACTTCGAAAAATGAAATTTTATTATTTACTTTAGTTGTTTAACAGAACAATTACCATTTTATCAAGTACGTGGGCTACCAAAAAGTGTCTACCTAGCAAATATTGCATCAGGACCAACTACAGTGATTTCATTTGATGGTGGAATCAATTGGAATAAAACACATTATGAATGTGATAAGGTAATAAAAAGAAAATCGTATACATTTTATTTTTTCAAATCAATATTTCTATTAGACGATGAATTGTCCGAACAATGTATCAATTGTAATAAGTTCATTAATTTCTTCAGATGATGCACCAGGAATTATTGTTGGCAAAGGTAAAAAATATATAAGAAATTCGAAATTTTAATTTTCTATTATTATCTATTTAAAGCCTCTGATGGTACTAACGAATATGTTGCTACTTCATTTGATAGTGGACGTTTATGGCGATTAGTAATATAATATTTCATAAAATTTTGTAAAATTAATTCTTTTTTTTTATAGAATTCTAAAGGAGATAATTATTTAACAGCTATATCAAATTCGAATGCACTCATCGTAAGTGTATTAAATAATACTCAGCAATCGTTCAATCATACTTTTCGGTAAAAAAAAACAAATATCTTATGAAATAAAATATTAAGATATTATTTCTAAAGATATTCTACTGATTATGGTCGTAATTGGCATGAGAAAACTTTAACAAATGAAACATCATTTCGAATTTTATCTCTTATTGCTGATAAGAATAATATTTTTTATATTTTAACATCAAATAATGATAATATATTAAATTTAATGGAACTTGATTGCAATCTTCTCATTCGTAAGAAATAAAAAATATTTATATATTTTACCGAAATACGAATTTTCCTTAGATAAACAATGTGCTCGTCATGAATTAAAAGAATGGTCTTTACAAGGTTCTTGTATAAATGGTTCGAAATATTATTATAAACGACGTATATCCGGTTCATATTGTCTTGATAATGCAACAGATGTTCGAATTGAACCATGCGCATGTTTATTATCAGATTTTGAATGTTTACCAGGTTATAAACGTTCATCTGATGGTATTTGCTTACCAAAATCTCATTATATATCATCACAAGATTGTACTTGTGAAGCTAATACTACACTTTCAACAAAACGTCGTGGATATATGAAATCAACAAATAGTCAATGTCGAAATGGAATTGAAAATTATCTTTCAGATACTTATATAACACGTCGAGATTTAAATCATCCAAATTTTTTTCTTTATGGTATTGATTCACAAACAAAACAAACAACAATTGAAATTCATACAAATGATTTTGATCAAGATGATGATGACGAAGACGATGATGATGAAGATATTAAACGTAATACAATTCAATTCGGTGATAAAACATATGAAATAACTGCACTTGCTTTTGATGAAAATACTAAACAAGTATATATAGCTGTTGAACATGATCAATCAGCAATTATTTATCGAATGAATGTAAGCAAAAAAATTTTTTTATTTTTTAATCTAATTTTTTTCTTCCCTATAGAAAAATCATTTTAACCAAGATCGTATTACAAAACAATTCAAATTTGATTCAAATAATGAATTATATAAAAATTCAAGTGAACATATTGAATATTTAACTATTGATTGGTTAACACAAAATTTATATGTTCTTGTTCATGATAAAAATACTCATCAACAAAACGTTTTTATACTTGATATACGTACACATAAACGACGTACAATTCTTAAAAAACAACATTTCCAACCAGCAATTCTTCTTATTGATCCAATTAAAGCAAATCTCTATTGGATTTCACATAATTCACCATCTTCACTTCATATTGCAAATCTTCAAGGACATATGAAAAAACAAAGTCAATTATTTTCAACAGATACAAATATTAGTTATATATCATATGATTCTATAACACATGAAATTATTTTTGTTGTTAATTCAAGTATTTATGGATTAAATACACTTGATCATAATCGTTTAGTACCAAGACTTATATATGAACATTCATCAAATATTCATAATGCTTTATTTGTTCATCCAATTCTTTATTTTACAAATGAAAACAATAATAATAATAATACAGATCCATCGATAATTCATTTACATGCGATTGATATTTTAGCTAAAAGTTTTGCCAAAAATCTTGCGAAATTTAAAAATTTTGATTTATTAAAATTATTTATTGATATGGCTCCTAATATGCCACAAAGTACTAATTATATTTACATTCAATATATTATATAAGAATTTATTTATTTTTAGCAGCAACAATCAATCGTTGTGCAAATAATCCTTGTTCTGATGTATGCATTCCATTAGAACATGGAAAATTCCGTTGTTTATGTCGCGATGATGCAAGGTAAGGAAGATAGAGTAAATTTCATAAAAGAATAATTAGATAAGCTTGTTATTTATCGTTGAAAATTTCCCATTATATAAGAATTACTAAATTCCTACATGTTCGCATTTGTATTCGATAAGCTGGTAAATATGTTTCGTTCTAATAAATAAGTATGAATAACAAAAATGTAATTATTGTCTACTCGCATATTTTCATTTATCAAGGGAAGGTATCCCAGGGATTTCATACATATGATATCTAGAGAGCAAATGTAAATCTTATGAGTTTGGATGTGATGTATAATTCAATCTATTTTCGATCTCTTATTTGCATAGTTATCCATCATGCTCATGTCCAACTAGTGAAAAATATGTTACTGGTTCATGCCAAGCTGGTAAGTCGTATTATAAAAATTTGTATAAAAAATCGAGAGATTCATTATTTAGTTAATGAACAATGTGCACCTGGTCGTATTCTATGTCAAAATCGTATAAATTGTGCTGAATCAGCTCGCCTTTGTGAACAAGATCATACACAATATACAGAAGCATTTAAAAATACAGCTCGTTGTACATTAGAACAACCAAATGATGGTTTTGATTGTTATTATAATGAAAATAATAGTTCCAATCATACATGTATTCCATTTGAATGGCTTTGTGATGGTGTTTATGATTGTCCATTTGGTAATGACGAAGAACATTGTCATAAAATGACAACAACAAGAAAAACAGTAACAAAAAAAACACCCAGTCTTTGTTTAACTGATACTAAATGTAAGTTAAGAAAGAGTTTTTATTTGATTTGATTTCTTTATATTTCTATTTAGTTACACATGTAATGTGTCGCAATAAATGTATGAAAATTAATGAAGTTTGTCGAACTGCCTCGAATAAATTAACTTGTTCAAATGCATTTCATCTCCATTGTAAACAAACAAATGAAGAAGATCATGTAATTCTATTAAATTAAATTAAAACATTTTATTTTCTAAATGTTTTTTTCAGTATGATTGTAAATGTCGAGATAATAAGAATCGTTGTATTGCAATGAGTGAACAATGTGATGATCCTGACCATTGTGAACAAGTTTGCAAAACTTCAATTCATTATGGTTAGTTTGAAAAATTTTATATTTTAAAAAAACAGAACATTCAAATATTTGTTATTATAGCTAAGACAAAAGGCAATCAAAGTTTAAAATCATCGTCAGTAGCATGGATTGTACTTCTTATTGCTATTCTTATTATTCTTTTCGTTACTATTATTATAATGACTATGCGTTACAAACGTCGAAAACAACCTCCAGTTTCTTCACGTATGTAACAACAATAGAATTTATAAAATCTTAATTAATTCTTAATTTTTAGGTACACCTCCAGCTGAAACAGAACCATCTACAACTAATTTGCCGCCGAGTGATACTCGTGAAAAATTACTCAATAGTAGTCCTAATACAGCCAATGAAACAAGCTAAACTATTTCTTTCTTTTTACTTCCGTTTAATACATATAAATATATATAATTAGTTTACATTTGTTTTTTTTGCAATCAAATCCACTCCTTATTTCATGTGTGTGTTTTGTATTTGTCATTAACCGGTGTAACGCAATATTCATTTGTCTTTCTGTTTCATTCTTTCTTTCTTTTTTTTATATTTCCATATCTACATCCAATTATTCATTCGAGGATTTGAAGATTATGATCATGAAAAATTTTCGGTTTTTTTATTTTTGCTTTGGTGTATTTGTGTCATCCATTTTTCTAATAGGTAAAGAGATAAAAATAAGAAAACACAAATAGAAATATTATTAAATTTAATCCTATTATTATGAAAACATAGATATAATAATTCATCATTTATATGTTTGTTTGTTTGTATGTTTGTTTTAACCTATGAAACACAAAAAAAAATTCAAATAGTACACAGATCTGCAGTTTTGTCTTAATGATACTTCGTAACAGGTATAGAAATAAAAAGCACGAACAAAATAAAAAAAGAAAACGGATGAGAAAAAGAAAACAAACGAAGAAAACACACATGTAGAAATCGAGTTTTTCTTTTTTTGTTTTTTTTTGGTTGTTGTTTTTAACAGAAGAAACAAACGGTTATAATATGCACAAGCGCAAGAGTAAATATACTTTTAAATAAGTAAAAACGAAAATATATACGAATCATTGCGCTATTTCTTGTTTGTTTTATCGTCTCGTAATCTATTTCGAGAGAGAAAGAGAGAGAGAAAAATATGTACAAAAAAATAATGATAGATACAAAAAAAAAGAAACGGAACGAGTAACAACAAAAGAGAAAAGAACAGAATATACGAATTAAAAATATGAGCTTGAATATTTTTTTTTTCTTTTTAATATTTTAGTCACTTTCACTTATTTCACCTTCTTCACCTTCATCATCTTGAGAATTCGTAAGTTTTGTTTGATTAGATTGATTTATTAGTATTGATTGTTTATCATTCGATGATAATGATGATGTTGATGGTTGTTGTTGTTCTTCATCATTATCATTACGAACAGATATTTCCTGTAATTGTGCTAATAGTTGTTTACGTTCTTGAACTAATTGATCCATATTTTGATGATCTAAATAAAGATATTTAATATGAGAAATCATTATATTATCTAATTACCAGAAGTTTTTGTATTTGTTGGTTTTGGTAGATTATTGATTTTCTTTTTTCCATTGGTTTCTGTTTGTTGAGGTAAGTTTCGTCGGTTATTATTATTATTATTATTCAGATTTGGTGCTGTTATTGTATTATCACGTTTTCCTCGTCTCATATTACCATGTTCATCAGATTCAAATTTATATTGATTATAATTAGGATTTGATGGATGAGGTCCAATATTTCCCATTGCCATTGGATGAGGTGGCATATCGAATGGTCGAGTAGGTGGTGGATATCGATTCATTGGATG